TTATTTATTTTAAATTAGGGGACTTATATAGGGCTAACCTCAATGTCTTCCTTTTCAAAATATGTAATCTACATTTTTGAATAAAGTATTATTAACCAGAACATTCATTAGACAGACACAAATGGTCTCTTGTGTATTGCCAAAGGTGATAGGTGAACATCAATAGGAGATAGGTCATTCCAAAATCCAAGAATAGCTGGAATGACTTGTGTTTCTGCTTCTTATTCTCATCAAGAAAGAGGATCTTAGTGTTGAGACTGATTCATTGTTGTTTATAGTCAACCAAACTATTTCCATCTCGGAATGACCTATCGCCTTTGGCGATGACAACGCTTTTTGAATTAGGTGCATGTAGCTCTAAGCTGTGAACACATGTAATAATAGGAATGATAGCAATAAGATATTTCTGAAGAGATAATAGGGACAATAGTAATAATATGTTTCTAAAGAGAATTTGCATACTTACTACATATACAGTGTTCTTACCAGGAATTTCTTTCAGGGGGTCAAAGGGCCCATCAATCTGAAATTTAGGGGCCATTTAGAAAACTTTATGGACCATTTCCAAAATCTTAAAACAACGAATAATAATGTTTTTAGCCAGTAACTCTGTTACAAATCTACAAAAATGTAAGACAGTTTTATTAGTAATGACAACACACTTGAGCACATACTTGAGCCTTCAATAAACAAGGTCAGTTAACACAGACTAATCCCAGACGTCTTGGCGAGTGAAATACAAGATGGTGGCTATGTTCAATTTGTGGCATTTCATGTGGACTTTCACCTTGTTTATCAACAATATAATGCGACTTTTATTATTTCAAAAGTACTATAAATCTTTTAAAACTACCAGGAAGTATTCCAGGTGCATAGAGTTGACATTTGTGCGCCATTTCTGATTTTATGCGTGAATCCCGCAATGGCCAGCCTGGTAAGAACACTGCATATATACATTTAATTCTTTAAAATATAGATTAATGACCAAGAATTGTTTGTTAATCAAAGTATTTTTGTTATTAGTGGTGTGGAAGCAAAACAGCCCAACTCTGCCATCAGAAAATGTGTGAGAGTACAGCTCATCAARAACGGCAAAAAAATTACTGCCTTTGTTCCCAACGATGGTTGTCTGAATTACATTGAAGAGAATGATGAAGTTTTAATCTCTGGATTTGGCCGTAGAGGACACGCTGTTGGTGATATCCCTGGTGTTCGATTTAAAGTAGTAAAGGTTGCCAATGTATCATTACTTGCATTGTTCAAGGAAAAGAAGGAAAGACCTCGCTCATAAGTAATGTACTTGGTGATCAAATAAAAAATAAAATCTGTTTTGAAACTTAAATGTGTTTATTGTTCTGAATATATTATACAGTATATATATATTTGTCATTATCATTAATTTGTTGTAATTACTTTACAGTGAGATGTGCAAAAGTATGACTGGCAATAATGTATTTGCATACTCTTATCTGTGTTATGCATGGGCTTTTGCACGTTACTACTGTAATTGCAGAAGTGTGACCCTTAAAGTTTGATGTCTTGCTAGTCAAACCAAATAACTGGAAAAGAATAAAATAAAAAATACATACCTTGAGGGAGATTTTACAATGAATTAAATATTTTAATCCTCAAATTAATGTAACTCATTCCAATATTTTAATCCTCTAAAATTAATGTAATTCATTCCAAAATCTCAGTTAAGGTATTGTTTTTATTGCAGTTCTTTGATTGACCATTGTTGAAATGCTAGTTGGTAAACAAAATGGTTTACTGAATAAGGCATGTAAAATTTTGTTTCACGGCAAAAGCCTGTGTATAGAAGTATGCGAATAATATATAACAAGAATTTGCGTTTCAGTATATGTAAGGCATGTTTGAAATTGCTGACAGAATGTACAAAGAAAGTCAAACTTGAAAGGTTTTTCGAGTGGAATGTTTGAGCCAGGGTATAAACAAACTTGAGTAACTTTGAATAGTTTAATTACTTTTTAACCATTCTGGTTAAATGATTTAGTTTGAATATTGTTTAGAAGGCATTGGAGGCATTTGATCGCATCAAACCTGTGAAACAACTATTTCTTTGTCAAGGATGCTAAAAATGGAGACTCCTGATGGGTAAGGGGTAGTCGTGAGTGAAGAAACGCTGAATCCATAAAGTAAAGCCAAATTCTTTACTTAAATCAATTGAATAATAGACCCCTTGCACACTGAGTCACCAAAGTCGGGGGATGAAACAATGGATCTTTTTTGCATAGGAAAAGATGGCCTATTGTTTTGYCCCCCAGAACAATTCCTCTAATAAATCAATGCATATTTCACAGGTCAAATGAAACCATTTTTTGGAAAGCACCAAACGAGTATTGTGTAAAATAAAGTTAAGTCTGACTTGATGTGGGTAAATGATCTGCTTCCAAAATTATTGGAACATAAGATTTTGCTTTATGATATTTCTTTTAAAAACAAAACGTATCGCTTTTCTTTCTGCAGAAAAATAGAACCTGCATGAAAGATACGACCATTTTTTTAACTTTTGGATATTTTTTTTTGGAAAATTCTCTTAATAGAGTGCAACACTTTGCACTATTTAGTAGTAAACAGTGCTAATTAAACAATGGAAAAGATTAGGATTAGCATAATTAAGCAGTATTTAGTAGTATTTATGTTACACAATTAGTGTTTGTACTCTACTTGTGCTACTGTAAGTCTTCATGGATTTCTTTTTGGTTGAATTTAACAAGGTCTGTCAGTAGTCTTGTTACATCAACCAAAATGGCAACCATGCCTTTTTCTGGTCATTCTTAATAATCAAAATCACCTATACAACAAAATTTTCTTGTAAGTTATTCCTGTTTAATGTATTGGGCATTTGTTTGTGAAACTCTTCAGCATCTTTTATTGCTTTTTCAAAGTCTTCCCTTTTGACATTGAATGGGTGGTTTTCTGATGACACCTGCACAAGAGGCTTTCTTGAGCGTCTTCTGATTGCACTTATGCCAAGCAAATGGAGTATTACTTTTTCAAGGTCACGACCAAGTCTATAAGTTCTACACATAGATAAGAATCTAGGTATATCCTCTTTGCTGCCACTGTAGTCCATGTAAACAGGGATGCACTTTGAAGTGTCTCTTGTGGTACAAAATTCACCTCTTAATAAGTTCAGTTGACATCTTATACTCACATCTGTCAAACAAGAAGAAGGACTTGATTTTGCTTTAAATCTAGATTTCCAATAAACCCAGGGAATAAAGGAAGAAGGGAAGAGACTTCGAAGAACAAAGTTGATACAGAAGGGGTCTAAACTTGTCAGGAATGCAGAATGTTTTTTGCATAACAGTTATAAATTTTCCAATTTAGCTTTCCCCTCATATTTTGGGGTGCGCCGTGGTCATTGCATGTATGCTTCGTTTCTCACACATCCTCCGTGCAGGAAAACTTTCAACCTTGGCTGTTTGTCAGGAATTGGAAAGGAATAGGTCCTTTACAATGTTAAAATAAACAAGGCGCATTCTAGTATATTTTGGTATAAACAAAACCACATACTAGTCCAGAAATTGTCTCTTAAACTGCAATCTGTTGGGCAATGGACATTTATATACTAATAAAGATGCTTACAGTCGCTCTCAGTTGTGGTCCTTTCTTCTAGGTTTTGATCCTTTATTTGCATAAGTGTTGATGTCACTAATAGGACGCGAGAAACCTGTTTGACTTGTGTTTCATACCATCTTAGTGGGTTTTCATTCACTTTAGGCTCACTCAAAATGTCTAACCTCACATCAAACAAGTTCGTGGAGTCCAGCACATCCCATAGACAGTAAATCACCTTCTTACAGGACATACAACAGCTTGCATGTAGTATGAGCACTTTGATTGGATCTTTAAAAAGTAAAATAATCCTCAGAAATTATAATAAAGATTTTAAAAAGTTTTTTTTTGGCAAAAATGAGGGATTTAAGGGAAAAGGGACACCCGAGAAAAGCTTGATGAACCAATGATCTCTTTGGAGCGAGGGTGTGGCATGGCACACGTGCGCAGTCGATCTCGTCCTCAGAGCCTGCGTTTTTCTTGGTCAGCACTGAAGAACTGACCAAGAGAAACGCAGGCTCAATCTGAGGGCCAAGATTGCGTTTTCCCGCTAAAAAAATGGCGGAGTCAAAAGACTCTTTGGGCGAGCATTTGGTAAGTTTAAAGCATTTCTTCATTGCTCTCGAACTTAAGAAACCTTCAGACATCGTAGTTATACAGAAAACGAACTTAGACCGGTTTCACTACCTGATAGTATTTCCTCTGTATCACTTTCACTGACAACAGGACGGTTTTCAAGTCTAATAAGTGGAGCACCTCAACGAGAAATTATAAATAGCATTAGAACCTTATAGCCTATGGTTGCATTTTGAAAAAGAAGTCAATAACAATAGAATAACAATAGAATATTAAGCCATAAAAAACTGTTTTTATGAGTGTGTGTTTTTTTCAAGTACAAAAGTTAATTAATACCTCTTCGTCTTAATATTCCAAATACCAAACCAACTAGGAGTATACCAAGTACAACACCAGTACCAACAACGACAGCTATAACTGTCAGGTTGGGAGCAGAATAATATCCATTAGTCGGTAGGATAGATATTTCTGAAAAAGTAAAAATAATACATCAATTATAATTTTGAAGCTTTATAAATTATCTGAATGCATAAGCAATTTGATAGTTAGAGTTTGAGAACATCAGGGGGAAAAATCAAACCAGACATGGAATCAAACGAATTTAGTGTGTTGGGTAACATGGCATTGAGGAGGAGAAAGCTGAAAATGCTGAGAATAACCCATGAAACTCTGMCATGTGATGCAGAATGTATGAATTCAACCCAATACCCCAGAGATTAGAAAGAAATGGCATTACCACAAAATTACAATGCCATCCTACTATTCCACCGTTAGAAAGAGACGCAAAAAACTCTGCTCACTTGTATGTGATGCCAAGACCAGGAATCCAACCCACAAAACCAGAGGTGAGAGGACAATGCACTTCGGGGTAATACACATCCCTCGATTCATAAGAACATTTTCTGGCCTGGCCTTTATGGCCACCAGGATATTACATTATATACCCACACACCTGTTGTATACTGTGAAATAGCAAACTGAAATTGTTGGGCCTTTGTGGTTTTCTGCTTACTAGTTATACCATAAATCTGTTTGTTAAAAATGGTTCTGTTAATTCATACTTACAGATATCACAGAGAAGAACTTTAAAGATAAACCACATATTTAGAAAACTTACATGAGATTTTGTTTAACTTCATTGTTTTATTAAGCTTTTTGATCAATATTCATTACAGGGGCGGCGGAAACTGAAAAATTTTGGGGGGGCACTCCAATATTTCACAGTACCTTGAAATGACCCCCCCCCCCCCCCCCCCC